CATGGTGAAATCAAACTATCCTTGCGCATAGACGGGCCGATTAATTCACAATAATCCACAGAATTAACAAAAACTCTCCGAGAAACATGAGGAGAGGAACAACATTTGACATTGAATCGTATACATTGATCACTGCACTTCTTTCCGGAAGGATGCGCTTACGCGGATAAATGGTGTCCATAATTATGCTTACATTTCTTTGCTTGGAATCTTAATCAAAAATAAAAATATTGACACCTTTCAATATCTGATTCATTTCTGCATCATTTTTATTAAGATCAACGAATTTTACAGATAGGATTCATTATACTTCAAAGGAGATAAATAGTCCCCGATTCCTACGAACGAGTCAAAGCTAAAGATAAGGCACTGAGTCAGTATGGGAATATCCGGAGTGTTTAACTCGATGGCCTTCGCTAGCCAAGTCAGGAATCCGACTGTGCACGTCCTTGGGACAACCATAAGAAGTTTAATTTTAAGGTGAATTGATCACCATTTAAAAATCCCGAGGATGCTCCCGCGGAAAGAAATTCAGATAGGACTGAAGCAACTAGACATCAATATGCAGCATGGCTGATGCAGAACATTTAGTGGTATGAATTTGCCTTCATCGATGAGGTTGGTATCAAGCTGTTAACGAAGGGTGCAATGCTTTGTTCGAGTAATGCAGGGTCGAAGGGGACTGAACCGCACAATGCCACATGGGCCTAATTTGCTGTCAGTGCCAAGGGTGGCCTGGTCTTTCACGACTTTCAAGTAGAGGGAATGGCAGCTTTGTTTCAACCCATCCCTCTAAGAAACTTTTCCAACAATCCCCACAACGACCGTGGCTTGGTGAAGCAATAGACCAAATGCTCACTCAGCTGACTCACCAACAAAGGATGGTCACATTGCCCAGATGATGGAGCAAAAAACACAAGCTGTGACTATAGTGAAAATGACAGCAGCCTTCAGATCAATGCAAGCCTATAAGCCACAGCGTTTTGCAGTGCAACAAAAAGTAAATAAAAGTAAACTTGGCTTTAGATTCCACTCACTCAGTTCTATAATATACCAGCAGTTTGTTGATTTGTATCATAACCATTCGTTTCTGTTTTATATAACAAACATGTGGGTTTATTTTGGTTTTAAAAATAGTTTAACTATTAGTTTCGTTTCCCATGATTCCTTCCTTGTGGCACCACACGGCTTACGTCGAACTTTTTCGTGGCCAAAAAACCCCCAAACCTTTTACTTCTTACCTTGATACTCCTCTTACACTTTTAACCTCCTTTTTCGTTTTAGTAAGAGTTTTACGGCACTCGCAACACATTAAGGTCATATAAGTGCCGACAAAAAAGGAGGAGACATCAGGATGATAGATGTTAGATAGGAAAGAAGGAGCAAACCACTCCAGAGCACCCGCCAACCACCCACGTAGCCTCCTTTTACTCTAGTTCAAGCATATTTACATTTGAACTTGCTATGTGGCCTTTGAATTTGCTATGTGTTACATTTGAGATTTCTATGTTTACATTTGAACTTGCTATTGTTGTATTAGGACTTTTTATGACGTCATTTGTATATTTGGATTTGCTTGGTGTAATTTGGTCTTTCTATGCGGTCTTTGAATTCGTTATGTGTATATTTGAACCTCAAAAAAACTATAATAATAATAATAATAATACATATCATTTACATAGCGCATACCCATAGGTTACAATGCTAAATGGGCTTCAAAAGACATATTAATTATAACAGTTTAAAAATACATGCAGCACTTACACGCACCAAGGTATATGAAGTAGCACCAACATGTCTATATTTAACCCTTATATTTTCCTTAATTCTAAACGTATTAATTTTCTCTTTTAGTTTCGTACGTGTTTTACAACACTTGCACCTCAAAATTGGGTTATATAAGGGCAGAAGATTAGAAGTTTTACTGAAAAGTAACACACACAGAAAAGGAGTCTTAGTTCAGTTTTAATAAGAGTTTTGAGGCACTTGCAACACATAAAGGTCATATAAGAACCGAAGATTTGGAGGTGTTACTACAGAGTAGTAGAGAGCAGAGAGCTTTTTGTATTGAACATTTTCTCACCACCAACTCGCACAAGGAACGGAGACAATGTTAAATTGCCCTTTATGCCTTCTTTGATGTCAAAGGTAAAAATATTTTATCAGTTAGGGCCAGTAGAGAATCAGAACTAAAATACCCTAGACAAAACAACCACTTCAGGTCAAACACACACCGTTTGCACCCCTTTAAACGTCACCAGGGTGCAGAATTCACTATTCAGTAGATGAGCCCCAGGAAACGTCTGAACGTAGACGATATCTGCAGCAAAGACGTTCCTATTTCTCAACGGTCCCCATTCTCAAGGAAAATCTTTATCTACGACTGTTTCATTTTCACATTCGCGAAGCTATCAGAGGATAGCAATGTGTTCATGATAGCTCGATCGTCTTGAAAAGCGTGAACATTTCTTCTCTGACATTTGGTTCCTCGGCAAAGCCCATATAAACCTTTCACGTTATATTAACTCCACAAATGATATTTCGGCAACCTCACCCCCCCTCCCTATTTTTTTTAACTCAGTAGGAGAAAACAAATGTTGTTCAAAGGTTACAAAGAGGGAAAGATTAGATTTTAAAAATAAAAGGAAAGGGAAAAAAACCAATGACTTTCTTTACAAGATGTTTTAAATTGGTACGTTTTGCAAAAATTTATAGATGGTTTTTATAAAAGCCATTTCCGCTTTGGAAAATAAGTTTCTTCTTTGTGAATTTTATGTCAAACAAATTCCCTTTGAATGAATATTATCTGTTCCAAATTACTACATTCTAGTACAAATTTTGTGCAAGATATTCAGAAGAAAAAAATTGAACAGTTGCTGTTGGTTGGGGTTGGGTTGTTGGTTTTTATTTTTTTAAATTTTATTTTGGATCACCCTGTAAGTAGTACATTTTGTACTAGGGTAATTTACTTCCACTGCGTTTACCGCCCAGGCAAAGCTGTATCAAGCATACTGCTTTATAGTCTTCATCGGTACCGATGGACAGCTGAAGATGACGAAAATTTTGAGAGGCGCAGAGTTTAGCTCTGGGAATTCATTGAAGGAAAATGTGTACGTTTCGCAAGGAAAGAGGGGTGGGGTGCATATGCCAGCATGTGAGCATGTGTTTGTTTGTGGGTGGGTGAGGGGGCGAGTGTGCGTGTGTGTGTGTGTGTGTGTGTGTGTTTGTGTGTGTGTGTGTGTGTGTTGTGTGTGCGTTTGTGTGTGTGTGTGTGAGTGAGTGAGTGAGTGAGTGAATGAGAGAGTGAGAGAGTGTATTCCGTGAGTATGTGCATAGAATGTATGAATGTGTGTCAAACAGAGTTCTAAGCGGAGAAAGCAGTTTCGCGCTTACTAAAGTACCAAGCAAAAGTACACACATAAACAATCAGAACCATGTACACATGCCACACTGCGGCCAACTTCCAGCAGCTGGGTTACGAATGAGTCACCGTAGTGGGAACAAGATACGGAGCAATTAATGTTAAGAAAACGTCAGGACAAGGAGAAGACAAGCGAGAGACACCGGAGAACAGCGGAGACAATCAGAGGCGAGATATCCAACGCCGCCGTCACCATGGCAACAAGACGCCATTCACGGTGTCAAGCCTCTGTGTCTCACGAAAGAGACGTCGAGGTCACCACTTCAAGTCATTGATTCTCGACGATCTTAAAATGTTTGTTTGTTTGTCTTTTGAGTTGGGATCTGTTTTTGACCTTTATTGTTGTTTTGGCTGAGTTCTTTTATTTATTTATTTATTCATTTTTTTAAATTTATTTTTTTTTGGGGGGGGGGTAATCTTATTGTTGCATATGTTTTTAATTTTTTTAAGGGGAGGCCAATCCAGACCCAGAGGCACCGAACGAATTCATGTTTGCAGACAACCTGGCAATGATTGACAACAAGACTCAGCTACAGGAGCATATGAACCAACTAAATGCGAGCTGCGAAAAATATGACATGAAGATCAGTATTAGCAAGACCGAAGTCATGACAATTAGCAGGAGACCAGGCAAAGTGGATATCAACATCAATGGATCCCAACTAAAACAAAGCAGAGAATTCAAATACTTGGGCAGCATTTTCACAGAAAATGGGAAATTAGATCGAGAAATAGAGACTAGATGCCAGAAAGCCAACGCAGTCAGCTACCAACTCGGCCCTCTCCTGAAACATCCCAATATCTCCATGAGCACAAAGGCGAAGCTCATCAACGCCATTTTCCTTCCAACGCTCACATATCAGTGCCAGACATGGACCCTAACAAAAGCCCTAGAGAGGAAACTGGTCACATGCGAGATGAAATGCTTAAGAAGAGCGGTCAACAAAACAAAAAGAGACAAAATTAAGAATGAAGTCATAAGGGACACTGTGGGAGCAACACCAGTCCTACTACACATTGAAAAACAAAAGGTCAAGTGGTTCGGACACCTCACGCGGATGCCCCCAAACCATCCAGCTCTGAGAGCATACAACACTAAATATTCTGGATGGAGAGCCAGAGGAAGACCAAGGCGACGATGGAGTGAATCTGTGGCAAACACCCTTAGAGATCATGGGATGTCCCTCCTACAGGCCACACGACTTGCTGCAGACAGACGCCTGTGTCTCCCCGCGACACCCACCGGTACAAGTGGAAGAAAAAAGTAAAAAAAAGTAAAGTTAAAGGGAGGGGAATTTTATTTTGTTTAGCTTGGATATTTTTGCATTTGTGGGGGTTGCTGTTTGTTTGTATGTTTGTTTTTAATGAAAGGGAGCATAATGTCTTTATACGGCCAATCGTGTAATGACCCTCGTCCCTAAATGAAGACAACACCAAAAGGGAAAAGAACCAAATTAAACAAACGACATTTATCTAAAATAAAGACAACAACAAAAGAAAACAAACACACACACACACACACACACACACACACACACACACACAAATAAAGAAATCACGACCTTCCAGCTCTACTCACCGCTGTCAGCGTCGGACGAAGCGGCCGCGTCCTTCTCCCCCTCGTCCACATCCTCCACGACCACTTCCACCACCACCACCTCCTCCTTCTCCTCTGTGCTTCCTCCCTCGGCCTTTCCCTCCTCCTGAGCGCCTGGCAGCGGACTGCCGCCCCCTCCCTGGGTGTCCTCCCGTAAGACAGCGAGGGTTTTGTACCCCCAGCGCCTCTCGAAGTGCTCACGACCCCCGTCCAGCCGCACGCGCGTGCAGCCACATGACACCTCAGTCTTCTCATCCTCCACACGCTCCTGAAAGACACGAGAAGAGTACACAAAATGTAATGCAGGTGTTCTACGCCACCATCAACACAACTTCGAACGCTTAGGAAGCGGGTTTCCGACCCAGCCTGTCAGGGTGGACAACCCGAGCTGAGAGATATTCGCCGTTTCAGAAAAAAAATACTGAGATGTTCAATTAATATACCCCCCCCCCTTCCACACACACACACACACACACACACACACACACACACACACACACACACACACACACACACACACACACACACACTCGGGAATTGACCTTGGAACTCTTACATGCGACAACGCAGCGCCTGACCGCTTCACCACAGACACCAATCGAGAAGAGCATATTATTAATGGTTTTAAACGCACAACTGCACCAGACCTGCCAAACTTTCCATGACCAAAAACATGAGTTTTTCTCAGACTCAGGAATCTCCCCAAAAATCGGAGTTTGGGAAGGGGGGGGGGGGGTCCGAATCTCCAGAGCCCCAGAGGATTCAGATTACGTCAGGAACAGATCTTGAGAAATAAACGTAAACAGCAAATACCGGGTGTCTAAAAAAAGAGGAGCCATTTATAGGGCAACAACTCGGTTATCTTTGGACCAATTTCAGCAAAACTTCGAAGAAATAATTCAGCAACGGGGACGCCACATTTGTCAATATGAAACAAATCAACTATAATGTTCAAGAAATATCAAATTTTAAAAAGTTCAACCAAAATTGAGTGAAACGCAAAACTTTCACAACTTCTTAAAAATCATCCATAATTGTTCCATTTCAAATTGTCATTATTTGTACACTGAAGAACTATTTTATACAAAACTACTATTGAAAAACAAAATAAGGGAGGTGAGGGTTGTGTAAACCTCCAGGTGTTGACCATTTCTCTCCTTACAGGCTCCTATATGCCACTGGGAATTTTGAATAACCCTGTATGTGCAAAACATTTTTTTTATAATTTAGAAAATAAACATATCTAAATCTGTAAAATATTGTAATGCGTATTATGACGTCATTTACGAAAAGTCACACATTGCAAATAAACACTCGTATTTTCACTTTCTTTTTACTATTGGTTGCGTACGTACAACTGAGGTAAACAGAATTCAAGAAAAAAATCGAATTTTATGCAAATCCGAATGGAGTTCTTTCATCATATGGCTAGAAAAAAAATCAGGAGGGCTCCAACTTTATCGGAAGTAGTTGACACATCTGGTACACTGACTTGTATGGACATTGTGAACGTGCGGCGCGCGCTTGTGTGTGTGTGTGTGTGCGCGCGCGCGCGCGTGTGCGTGTGTGTGTGTGTGTGTGTGTGTGTGTTTGTGTGTGTGTATTTTTCAATCAATTCAAGATCATACTATAGTTGTTTGGGGTTTTTTTCAGTTCAAATATACATATATAACAAATTCAAAGGCCGCATAGTAAGACCAAATTACACCAAGCAAATCCAAATATACAAATGACGTCATAAAAAGTCCTAATACAACAATAGCAAGTTCAAATGTAAACATAGAAATCTCAAATGTAACACATAGCAAATTCAAATGCCACATACCAAATTCAAATGTAAATATGCTTGAACTGGAGTAAAAGGGGGCTAAACATATAAGAAGTGTATCAAGGTAGGAAGTTAATGGGTTTGGGTTTTGTGGCAACGAAAATGTAAGATGTAATGAAAATAATAGTTAAATTGAATTAAAAGCCGAAAATAAACCCGCATGTTTAAACAGAAACGAATGGTTATGATAAAAATCAACACACTGCTGGTATGTTATAGAACGAACTGAGGGAAATCTAAAGCCAAGTTTATTTACTTATTGTTGCACTACAAAAAGCTGTGGCTTATAGGCTTGCATTGATCTGGAGGCTGCTGCCATTTTCAATATAGTCACAGTTTGGGTTTTTTGTCCCATCAACTGGGCAAGTGTTACCATCCTTTGTTGGTGAGTCTGCTGAGTGAGCACTTGGTCTTTTGCTTCACCGAGTCACGGTTTCAAATCGCATTTCCAAATTCACAAACTTTCTCGTAGATGTTAAGAAAAGATGTGTAGGGGTGTAGATATTTCTTCCCCAATCTATTGATGAGTTGCCATTTAAAGCCTGCCTTTTGTGCACGAGCATTGTTACATACAAAGCATACTTCGTTGTGGGGATTGTTGGAACAGTTTCTTAGAGGGATGGGTTGAAACAAAGCTGCCATTCCCTCTACTTGAAAGTCGTGAAAGACCAGGCCACCCTCGTCACTGACAGCAAATTAGGCCCCTATGGCATCGTGCAATTCGACCCCCTTCGACCCTCCATTACTCGAACAAAGCATTGACCACTCCGTGCTCTCCATCGGTTTCTATTCGTCAACGGCTTGCTACCAGCTTCCTCAATAAAGGAAAATTCATACCGCTAAAAACGTTCTGCATCAGCCATGCTGCATACTGATGTCTAGTTGCTTCAGTCCTGTCTGAAATTCTTTCCGCGGGAGCATCCTCGGGATTTTTTTAAAATGGTGATCAATTCACCTTAAAATTAAACTGTTTATGGTTGTCGTCAACTCAGTTTGAGCACATTAAAATGCTTTTCAGGCTGAATAATCTTTGTGGAGGATATTTGCTTTTGCTATGTGGCATTTGAACTTGCTATTGTGTTACATTTGGATTTGCTATTTGTACATTTGAATTTTAAAAGCACAATTGTGCACTATTGTACATTTGAACTTTTTATGTGGCGTGAAACTTTCTATGTGGCATTTGAACTTGTTACGTGGCATTTGTACTTCTTATGTGTACATTTGATCTGAAAAAACTATTTTTTAAAAACTATATTCATATATATACACACGTCATTTGGAGCGTGCTCTTTGTACCCTTTCAAAGCCCCAGTAGCCCTATTAGACATTGAAGATCATTATTCGAAGGGACGGCACACGGTATTTAGATGGAGCATTTAAAAGGTACTAGCAAAAAGGTACTTGTGGGAGAAAAAAAAGACAAAAAAATATATATATCATTTTGAAGGTGTCGTATCATGTGTGGATTTTGCATAATTCCAAACCCATACTTAACACAAACAGGTCATTCCAAATCCGCACTTTGAGGTTTTTGTACATGTATCAGCTCAAAGCTCTACTACATAGAGCGGGGCGTGAGACCAGAGGTGAATATTACAAAAGAGAGGAAGACAATTACCACCTTAATGAGTCTCTCCTGTCCAGAACCATAAGGTCACTTTTTAAGCATGGTATGTTTATTCACTTCCTCAGGAAATCAAACCTTCTAAACGAAATGAATAATTTCACACCTGTTTCATATGTGCCTTTTATATTTAATTGAAGATCCTAAAAAAAGGTTGTTTTAATTTGATTAAAAGCTCATCAAAAAAAGTGTACAGGAATTATATCAGTCAGCACATCATTTGGGTTTTCCCGCATGGATTACTCTCTCTCTCTCTCTCTCTCTCTCTCTCTCTCTCTCTCTCTCTCTCGCTCTCTTTCTCTCTCTCTCTCTCTCTCTCTCTCTCTCTTCTTTTTTTTTGTGTTGGTTTTTTTTGGCACACCTCCCGAATATCGCCATCTTGAAACTGCAGCACTTTCATAACCAAGTTGTGAGAACCGTATCTAAAGATCAGAAGAACGACCATGTCACCCCTATCTAAAGACAACTCCGCTGGCTCCCAAAAACAAATAGAATTACATGTAGGCCTACATGTACTTACAAAATTGTTGTCCTTTGCCATAAACGTGTTAACAATAAAGTCCCTCGTATTTAAGCAACCTCACTCAAATATATGTGCTACCAAGATCTTTAAGATCAGGAGATAAGTCTCTTATGAGAACGCCGAGGAAGGGAGGTCAAAAACTGATAGGGAGGTCTTAAATTCTAATCTCGCTCCATCTTCGAGTATGTGGAACTCTGTCACACATTTAAGGGATACAAAGTCGGAGGAAAAATGTTGAATCCATTTAAAAACATACCTTATCAAATGACACAATTCATCTATTGCTAATCTATCATATTAATAGTTCTCATAAATTCTTTATGTGAAGGCCACATCGTCAGATATTGTGTTGTGATAGAATGAGTGTTTGCTCATCATCTGTTCCCGTTATTCTAAAAGGTAATAGATGCACGTGTTTTTTGTAAGAAAGGGACAGGTAAGCGAGCTGGTGTGTGTTTGTGTTTGGGTGTGTGTGTTTGTGTTTGTGTGGGTGTGTGTGTGTTTGTGTGTGTGTGTGCGTGTGTGTGCGTGTGTGTGTGTGTGTGTGTGTTTGTGTATGTGTGTGTGTGTGTGTGTGATTGCACAAACAAAATGCATCATTGTACGAATAGTAAGCAACATTGTGTTGTGATGAAGGTAATGTTAAGCATCTAGAGTTAGAGGGGAGTGGGCGCTATAGAAATGACATGCATTAAATCTATTATGTTAAGAAGAAAACATCGCAAAAATCCAAAGTACATAAATCCTGTGCACCAATTAGTTCGGGCAAATGATTGGAGGGCTCCACTAGTAATAGTAAGCCCTACTTTTCTCCTTTGCTTCTGTTGTTTTTGTGGGACTGTTTCGCCTCTCTTTCCGAGCACTAAATGACCGTTAATGTGTCGCTGTGCTTCTCTTTAGATCTACTCGAAATACAGAGATGTTCACTGTACACGGCTGCTTCTCCGCCTCTTGCGTACTGTCTTACTTATAGCCTATATTCGCTTTCGTCTAACAACGCTCCAAACAAGATAAAAATGAAACAGTTCTGTTTAATCTTCTCAGATCTGTCTATACGGATCTAAAAGTTGGCAGACAAACGGAATCTAAAAGCCCATTCAAAAAGGTCAAAGCAAACTAAGTTTCCGACACGTGTTCTTTGATGTAAGCCAACACATGAGTTCAAAATAATACTAATAGGGGATTTACAGCATACACCTAAAACATTTAAAAGTTGACATAGGCCTTGATTCCTCAACACCACACTTTGACAAAACTCAAGAGACAGGGTAAGTAATTTTCCAGACTCACAAGGAGCATGTGGAGACGTCTAGACTTAACTACCGGGGGATGAAATCTACAAGCTTACACTGGAATGTGGGGGCAGTGTGGTGTTGCTGTCTCAAAAGGAGCAATTTTTTTTTTTCAAGGTAACTAACTGTGAGTCATAGTTTTAGTGATCCTGAGTGTGCATCCAAAGAGCAGTTTATAAAAAAGGACCAAAAGAGAAAAAGCTTTTTTTATTACTGGATCAAGATTTTTTTCTTAAAATATTTTTGTTCGGTCGCTTGCCTGCAGAAGTGCCATGCAAAGTTTCGTGCGCAAAGGTAAATTCCTAAATAGCTAGAATTTTTTTAACGCCGTCAGACGAAAGTAAACAAGCTGTACAGGGTCATAACCACAGAAACTTCGAAAAATGAATTATCTTGGAATAGTTATTTCCCTTAGAAAAGAAAAAGGGGGGGGGGCGCTTTGGGGGAGGGGGGGTGGTGGTTACCTGGAGCTTCGGTGTTCACATAAGTATCAGAAACTTATAGGACTCAAGAGGGGGGGGGGGATTTAATGAATGCGTTTGTTTTAGAATGAGTTTTACGGCACTTGCAACACAATAAGGTATAAGTTTCGAAGGTTAGATGTGTTACAAGAGAGTAACAAACACAAAAAAGGAGGGTAGACAAAGACAATAAATGTTTGATAGAAAAGAAGGAGCAAACCACAAGCACCCGCCAATCGCCCACTGTAAGCGTTTGAGTTTGCGTCCATGTGTTCGCCCCTGTGTAAGCAAGTATGAGTTAGACTGTGTGTTTGTATCCACATGTGTGTATTATGACAGTGTATTTGTCTGCATGAATGTGTAGGCCCACATGGGTCAAATTATTATGATTTATGGGTTTGCTGTCTGCTGATGTGTGCACATGTTCTCATATAGGTGTGTGCATGTGTATGTAGGCCTACATACATATGTATACACGAGAGTTATGAGAGAGAGTCTTGATACATTGTGAGAATTGGTTGCAGAACAATGTATTATCTATTGCATCTTTAAATTATAGCATGTTTTACAGAAGCAGACAAAAGCACAATACAAATTTATAATATGAAGGAAAAAAAATTTGTAATGGAAAAATTAATTAGAACTAAGTTGAATTCGGTTTTTTTCTTGGGGGGGGGGGGGGGGGGACTTTAAAATGGCAGTAGAAGACATGAGTAGGATTTCTGGATGAGAACAGTTTTTACTTATTATTTCCATCTGTCTGTAGGCACATCGTACCTCCCTATTGTGCATAGATAGGCATTGACAGGCAGAGTTAGAAAAGTACACCTCCTACATGATGTCAGATGTCCTGGGGGCGGGGGTGAAAAACATTTGATACAATACAAAAATTAACGCAAGCAAACAGCGGGAACAGAAGATTCCAATGCCAATATATCCTCTCCCTTAAGATATAAATTAGCAATGGGAATGCTCTCATGACTTTCACCTGTTCACTCTTGAGAAATTCAATTTTGGAAGCATCAGAGGTCAACACACAGAAGTGTGGCTCCCATCGCGGAGTTGGGTACCGACCAGCACCAAAGACGTGGTTCTCCAGCTCATGGTCAATCTCTGAGGAAGACAATGGACAGGAGACAAAACTATTAACACAGCCAGATATATCACAATAAATTATTTGTTAACTGTAAATTTACAGGAAACAGGCTGCCTTCACAACACAAAATAAGAGATTTCTGTATTTGACATTCCTAAGTAAATCATCAAGTCTAGAACATGTTCCAGAACATTCCAACAATGCTACAAAATTAAGACGTCTCACAAGCTTGTCCTAAGCAGAAAAAAAAATTGTATACTTAGAAATTAAATCTTTCAGAAAACCTAGACAAAAGGAGGAATACAAAGGACCACATTTGAAGTACAGTTGAACCTGCCCTGACGGCCACCTCTATAAGACGGCCACCTGTACAAAACGGCCACTTTCCATTTCCCCCTTACATTTTTTCTATATAATTTAACTGTGTAAAAACGGGCACCTGTCAAACGCGGCCGCGGCCACCATATTTTAACACACAACCCCTATCACACTAAGCAATAACACCTGTCTTAGACGCCCACCGTAGTGAGTCCATTACGTTTTGTCATTAATTGTGCATTGACCCCTGGCGTTGTGGGCGAGCCTTCATAATTCAATCACTTGTCGTTGTTGTTAGGTAGTCCCTCCACTGATCATGTTGCGTAGGCCCCTCCAACTGTTGACCAATAGGTACCAATTTCCAGCTGCTGGTGAGGGAAGCGTGTGATCCCTCATACCCATAAGCCCCACCCAGAACTCATACACAAATCGTAAGTGAGATGAGTGGTCACTGTTTACCCAGTCTGTAACAAAGTAACAATGGACGTCAACATGGACTTGTGACAGAAGCGTCACCCGTTCTTCGAGTGGTGGCGACCCGTGTGTTTGTGTTACCACAGCACTCAGTCCTCCTTGTCTGACACATTTTTGTTTTATTATCACCCTTGCACAAAATCAGCAATAAAATAAAAATAACAAACAAAATACAAACCAACAACAACAACAACGAAAACAACAATAATTCGGCTACTTTCTGAGTTGTGTTGAGCGCCTGACAGGCTGCTCCATAATCTCTCTCGATTATAACAGTTTCTAGTGCATTTTTAAGTTATTCATACAGTGGATTTTTATATCAGTGTATTCGTCATTTGACAGTGTATGTGGTGATGTAGGATTTGTACAAAAACAGTCAGTATTTTCAATGAAATTATCAGTTTTCAATTCGCCATGACTGACTTGGTATTTTTCTATTGGACATTTTTTTCCTTGGGGTTACACTCCGTCAACCCTCGAAAGTTTACAACAAAGAAATTTTTTCTCCTGAGTGTCTCGTGAAAACTGTTCTCCGAGTCTTTTCCAACTCTGTGCTCGGGAACAAATGTGTGAATACGTCAACGTGTGTTTCTCCCAGCTCTTGTTCGTGTGTTACACCATGTATGTATGTAAAGTATAAGGTTTTACGGCGCTCGCAACTGCTAAGGTCATATGAGCGCGCGAAACACAAGTTGTTCACCTCTGCGAAAGTTCACTTCACGACTGGCTAACTAATTTACTTTAAAATGCTAAAATGTCTTTGACGGGGAGAACTTGAAACCGTTGTTGTTTGCCCACGTTTCAAGTTTTTGCAGCTGCGTTTGCAGCTGCCTT